CCGAGAGGCATTTAGTCATGGCAGAAGAGCACGGGCCAGCGACTGCATCTGGGTGTGGGAGAGGCTCTCCCTGTCCCCGAGTCACATGGGGGTGGCAGGGGTTCCAGAAGGTACGCAACTTGCCCCAGGTCACAGAGCTGGTTTGCAGCAGAGGAGAAAGAATCAAAACCAGGGCTGTCCGGCTGCCAGGGTGGCGAATGTTGCACCCGGCAGCTTCCTAAGCAACGAGTGATAAGGCAGAAAAGCTATCAGCGAGAGGAATCCTGGCAAGACAGGCTGACAGCACTAAAGTAGCAGCAAGAGCCTAATTCCATGTTTCCATTTGCTTGATGTATTTCACAAGTTCATCTGGGTAAAGCTGATGCTTTGCCATTTTCATCCAGACCAACCTTCTACTTCTGGCTACTCACCTGAGAAATGAATGGACCTCAAGAACCTCCCACCCCTGGCCCAGTTTCCTCACTGATAAAATGGAGAGTTTGGGCTACAAGGGTTCCGAAGTCACTTGCACCTTTAAAGTGGCGAACATGCGGGCAGGATTACCCGCAGGGACACCAGGTCACCATTCCCAGAGCCAGCTGTTAGGTGTGAAGCCCCGTTCCACCCAAAGAGCTGCTTAGCCAGGGAACCCTAGAATAGTACATAAACGTTCTTAAACTCTTCATTTCCGTTCCAAATATGTAAACGTCCACCCGCTCCCCAATTCCACTGAGGCAGACGCACCGTCTGTCCCTAACCCAGGCTGTGTGGAGAGAGAGCAGTGATGATTGCACAGACAACCGGCAACGCCCACAATGCATCGCCTGCGATTTCCAGTTTCGGTGTCCTTCAAATGAGAAGGGAACTTTAAAGTGGTTACGAATAAATCCAAATACAGAAACTCTCTGGATTTTCAAGTTTTTCCCCCAAATCTTTTATAGCTGTTTCTCCCACACTTCATTTGACAGCAATTTTTTTTAGTGACTCAGCTCTGCGGAGTCTTTTTAAAGTATTCAGCATAGTTTCCCTAGAAACAAGAACACTCATTTCTTTTCACGTTCTCGTTTGAGCAGTTTAATGAAATGACAAGTCGGATATTGTCGTTCCCCTTCGCTGGCTCCTCCAGTGTCTCGCCCCACCCAGAAGGCCAGGCTGGGTTTGCATGAGGCTCTCCGTGCTCCGGCCACCGTCAGTCCACCCTCTGACCCCTCCTGCCACCCTGCACCTTGGTCGTGTGCTTGGCTACGCTGACCTCCGCCCTCCGTCCACCCTCTGACCCCTCCTGCCACCCTGCGCCTTGGTCCTGTGCTCCGGCTACACTGACCTCCGCCCTCCGTCCACCCTCTGACCCCTCCTGCCACCCTGCGCCTTGGTCCTGTGCTCCGGCTACACTGACCTCCGCCCTCCGTCCACCCTCTGACCCCTCCTGCCAACCCACGCCTTGGTCCTGTGCTCCCACTACGCTGACCTCCACCCTCCGTCCACCCTCTGACCCCTCCTGCCACCCTGCGCCTTGGTCCTGTGCTCCGGCTACGCTGACCTCCGCCCTCTGTCCACCCTCTGACCCCTCCTGCCACCCTTCGCCTTGGTCGTGTGCTCCAGCTACGCTGACCTCCGCCCTCCGTCCACCCTCTGACCCTCCTGCCACCCTGCGCCTTGGTCCTGTGCTCCCACTACGCTGACCTCCGCCCTCCGTCCACCCTCTGACCCCTCCTGCCACCCTTCGCCTTGGTCCTGTGCTCCGGCTACGCTGACCTCCACCCTCCGTCCACCCTCTGACCCCTCCTGCCACCCTGCGCCTTGGTCCTGTGCTCCGGCTACGCTGACCTCTGCCCTCCGTCCACCCTCTGACCCCTCCTGCCACCCTGCGCCTTGGTCCTGTGCTCTGGCTACGCTGGCCTCCGCCCTCTGTCCACCCTCTGACCCCTCCTGCCACCGCGCGCCTTGGTCTGTGTCTGGCTCGCTGACCTCCGCCGCCTCCGTCCACCCTCTGACCCCTTCTGCCACCCTGCGCCTTGGGTCCTGGTGCTCGGCTACATCTGACTCACCTCCGTCCACCTCTGACCCTCTGCCACCCTGCGCTTGGTCCTGTGCTTGCTACACTGGACGCTCCGCCCTCCTGCCACCTGCCTTGGTCCTGTGTGCCCAACTACGCTGGACTCGCCTCCGTCACCCTCTGACCCCTCCTGCCACCTGCGCTAGTCGTGTGCTCGGTACGTGACCCTCCGCCCTCCGGTCCACCTCTGCCCCTCCTGCCACCCTGCGCCGGTGGTGTGTGCTGCGGCTACGCTGACCTCGGCCCTCCGTCCACCCTTCTGACCTCCTGCGACCCTGGCCTTGGGTCCTGTGCTTTGGCTACACTGACTCGGCCCTCGTCCACCCTCTGACCCCTCCTGCACCCTGGCCTTGGTCCCTGTGCTTGGCTACACTGACCTCCGCCCTCCATCCACCTCTGACCTCCTGACCACCGCTGCGCCTTGTCTGTGCTTGGCTACACTGCCTCGCCCTCCATCACCCTCTGACCCTCCTGCAACCCTTCGCCTTGGTCCTGTGCTTGGTACACTGACCTTCGCCCTCCATCCACCCTCTTGACCCCTCCCTGCCACCTGCGCCTTGGTACCTGTGCTTGGTACACTGACCTCCGCCTTCCATCACCCTCTGACCCTCCTGCACCCTGCGCCTTGGTCCTGTGCTTGGCTACACTGACCTCCGCCCTCCATCCACCCTCTGACCCCTCCTGCCACCCTGCGCCTTGGTCCTGTGCTTGGCTACACTGACCTCCGCCCACTTCCCCGACGGCCATCAAGCTCTGCTTCGGCCGTCACACTGGCGGTTTCCCTCTGGAATTCTCCCTTCTGTATACCCAGGGGCTAGCTCTTACAATTACCTCTTTCCGTCTGTCTTTTCGCAAATGCCACCTTCTCGGTGAAGCCTTCCTCATCACCCTGTTTAAAGTCGCCGCCCTCGGCCCCCATCCAGGATTGTCTCCCCCCAGGCGCCGCGGCTCTTACCCATAGCCCACCTGTCGGTGCTCTACAAATACCCTACTCTTCAGAATTCGAGCTCCAGGAGCGCAGGGATTTTTATCTGTTTGTTCCCTGTTGCCTTCCAGTGCCTAGAACAGCAGGTCTGTCGTTGTCACTCAATAAATATTTGTTTAATAATAATCTTTACGATGATGCCAAATGTAGTGTCTCTCAGGCTGAACTGCATAACTGCCATAGTCAGTAGCTCAGGCTGGTGAAGAGGTTTTGAAACTAATGCAGCAGAGCCTTGGTGAGCAAAGAAGTCACCGGAGGGTTGGAAGTGTGTGTGCTGGTGTGAGGCACCCAGCCCGCCTGCCTCGAGCAGCCGCGAGCCCGGGCGTACCCCGGCACGGCACGGGGAACAAGGTCGTCCTAAATGCAAGTTGGCTGGACAGTCTCTCCTTTTAACTTGATCAAAATACCTCCCCGATTATTTCATGCTTTCACATTCAAATGCACAATAACACATGGCAAGGTCAATTGCAGCAGATGACCCAGCCACTTGTCTTCAGATACAGGCGGAACAACAAAGACAGGCTGTCTTGTTCCTGTCCACCATTTAATGGCCAGGTACCTTCAGCAAATGTCTTCATCTCTCTCTCCTCCTTGGTTCTCCACCAAAGAGGAGGAAGGTATAAAATAACACGTGGCCTGCCTATTTTATTAGTCTGCTGTATCAAATGGACCAGCAGCTATGAAAATATACTGAAAAATTATGTAGCATTCTATACAATAAACAATTTTCTCCGTGTTAACATGGATAACTGAATTGTCTGTCACATCTACTATAGCTCTCCAAAACTGATGATTTTAGAGCACTTTGATTTTAAAATGATTCCTAAAATATATTAAATATATATACAGAAAGAAAAGTCTGCTTTTAAGGGCATGGAATGAGAAAGAGAAGGAAAATGGCTTTTTCCTGATTCTTTAATAGAAAAACACAAAGAAGAAAAAGACATAAATCTGCACACCAGTAACTAGTATGTAAAGTTCAGATTCAAGAATCTTACTGTGAATATCTACAGTATCCAGGCTCATGGACTTCAGACATCCCTCATCTGCTGCGACACCACCAGGGTAATGCGAGACGACTTCTTAATATCACACGTGTCAACAGCAGTCTGTGCTGTGAATGAGCAGACCCTTTCCAACCATTTTAGTTCTGGTTTATTATAGCATTTATTAAACTAAAATAAAAAACTGGTGAGGAATGACTTGTCACACCATTTACTAGAGTTGGTGGAGTGTAGACGGTCTTTTCAATAGGCTTTAACACACTGCCATGCACCACAGTGCATTATTAATGGAAAGAAATGCAGGAGACTCACATCAGCTTTCCCCCCAAGTCATTCTGACATTAAATTTATTTATTTTTTTAGCATATTATGGGGGTACAAGTGTTACGGTTACATATGTTGCCCATGCCCCCTCCCCCCTCGAGTAAGAGCTTCAAGCGAGCCCATCCTGACATTAAATTTAGAATCAAGTCTACCTTATATGGCAAGGTTCAGAGATAAAATGTTAATCTGTTTGTTATTCTCCAAAACTTAAGTTTATAATTCAAAGTAACAATCAGGAATCTTTCCTATTCTACTGAATTTACGAATCATACTTTTTTTGGAGAAGGGTTCAAAGGTAGAAGCAAATGCAACAGGAAGATAAACAATCTGTGCCCCAGTTTGTATCTGACAAGAGGACGGGATCTAATTTTCTCTCTGATTGAAAAAACACAAAAGACAGCCACAGAATGCAAATTGAGTGTTGGGTGTTTGAACTTCTCTTCCATTACCTGAGTATCCAAATGGAACTAATTTACTCTGGAAAAGGTATTCAATAATTGAGCATGATTGTGCCAAGATGAGGGCTAATTCTCAAACTGCGAAGGAAAATAAACATATTTTACAATGATAAGGTCACCTCACTCACTCAGTAACCTCAATCAATCATTTTACATTCAAAAGAAACAAACCAAATATATTAAGAATGACCTACCGCCAACAAGGAACCCTGATGGACACAGGCACCTGTGGGGAAAACAAAGCAACAATTAAAAGGTGCATAATGAACCGGCAGCACCGCACAGCAGGCTTACTGCTAAAACCACATCAGCAAACTGTGCTTGTCCCAAAATCGTAAAACTTGAGCATTTCTTCCCCTGGGGAAATAACCCCATACACCAAAACAGCATTTCTCAGACACACACGAGGCAAAGCATCATCAAAACTTACTATTTCAATTTAAAAATAAATGTATTTATAACGATGTGCTATGAATACAGTGTACATTTTTCTTTGTGATAAGTCAGCAAAGCCTCCGTAATCCAGTCCCAATTTATTTATCCAGGCTTCTCTGCCCCTCTTCGCTTACACCAATTCTCCAGTCCCACCCAAGAGGCCAACTGAGGGCCCTGTGAGATATTTTCACGTCCCGATGCCTTTGCTCATTTCGTCCCCCACACGAGACGCAGCCGGTCTCTTCGAGTGCCTTGAACTTGACCCCATCCCCTTCATGAGACTTCCCAGCCCACAGGATTATGCTCTTTTGAGCTCACAATGTTTTGTGCCTGTGCTATCCATTTGTAAACTCATTCTTGCACACGTCCTTGTGATATCTTTGCTAAGGATGAGGGAATGCTGCATACACCCTACCACACTGTATATATTAGCGCACACACACTCTTAGGAAAGGGCTGCTACTATTTCTTTGATTCCCCACCCTGTAGGTATCACCTGGGCACCTGGCTGATTAATACAAAATACCTGCTTCAGCCTTTAACACAGCGCAAACCTCTTTAGGGAGATTAAACCATTTTATAGCAGAGTAGTTAGTACAAGTGGTAGTTTATTGAAAAGAACTCTTCTATTCAGCTCCTGACCTCCACGACTCTTTCAACCCGCTTTTCACTCAATTTTTTTCTGATGGGCTGCTTATGAACTGACGCGTCTTTATGTTCCCGCCATTAAGCACCAAATGAAAAGCAACAGACGGTCTAAATGGAAAGAAGGCTGAGTTTGAATGGGCTGCCCACACATTCTGAATAACTAACACATCACAAAATAAATCTGTAAGCTTTATACTGGAAAACAACTTAAAATTATAATCTAATTAAAAAAATGTACCCACATTCTCAACCAATTTTTGAGCTGTACGATAGGTGCTGATCTAACCTAGAAATAGGTGGGCAGTGTGCCTCAGCTACTCTCTCAGAAACTGAGGCTGCAAAACAGATCAGAGCAGCACCTGCACACCCAGGTAGAAGCACACCTCCACAATGTGCCACAGCCCGGTCCCAAGGACAGAGGACAGATTTTACTACGCGCCTGCCTCTAACAGACCATTCACGACGTCTCAAAAATATGAACTTCTCAGAGAAGCACCAGTATACCCTCTTCACCAATAATGGAATTAAGAACAAACTTTGATGGAAATGAGATGACTATTTACACTTGGGTTTGAATCAGAGATCTCCATGGGCAAATCTATGGAAATGATTTTCCACGCTCTTGACATTCAAATAAGAATAACTTGAGATAAAACCTTGGGGGGAAATTCTTCTTAATTGACTTATTTTTCCTTAAGAAATCTCATTTCAAAGACCTAGTATTTCAGTCTATGATTTGCCATAAGAAAGGATATGCATGTGTGTATGTAAAATAACGAAATCTCAAATAAGCTATATCGACACAATTTACTTTCTAAATTACTTATATAGACATATTTAATTACTTCTGATGTTTAAAGAATTATAACGATCATCATCATTTAGGTACAATTTCACAAAATTTAACCTTTATAATAAACAAAATTTAACTTTTAGAAAAAACACACAAAAAATTTTAACCTTTAGAATAATTTCATTGCTCCACTTCATAGCAAGGTCATTTCTTTTCAGGGTTTCAAGGTTCAAAAGAAATCAAGCTTCTTTTTAATTTTTTTTTTTTTTGAGACAGTCTCGTTTTGTTGCCTGGGATAGAGTGAGTGCCGTGGCATCAGCCTCGCTCACAGCAACCTCAATCTCCTGGGCTAAAGCAATCCTCCTCCTGCCTCAGCCTCCCGAATAGCTGGGACTACAGGCTTGTGCCACCATGCCCGGCTAATTTTATATATATATATTAGTTGGCCAATTAATTACTTTCTATTTATAGTAGAGACCTTCGAACTCCTGACCTCAAGCAATCCACCCCCCTCGGCCTCCCAGAGTGCTAGGATTACAGGCGTGAGCCACCGCGCCCGCCAGGCTTCTTAAGAAGTATCCGAGTACTCACATCAAAACCCATTTTTGGAAGTTTACAAAGACGTTATAAACTCACTGCAACATGAAAAAATAAGCAGCACTGAGTGTGGCCACCTGGGTAAGCCGAACGTCTGCTGGAGACTCAAGTCAAAACAGTGTAGAGCTGCTGATAAATTCCATCACTAGCAAAAGGAAATAACTCAATTTGGGTCACCGTATGATGTACAATTCCAAAAGAAATAAGTTTTGCCCTCTGAGGGCTTTCCTAAAACAGAACAGGCCTACCCGGAAGGCAGTGGCACGAATCAGTCTCCATTAACACAGCTTCCAAACCTCATTTCCACTCTCTTGAGAAAACAAAGCACTCCAGTAAGACGCCCAGTCCTATCAGACATTTATCACCGCCAAGGCCAGGGCGGCCGCCCAAAGCAAGCATAGACCTCAGCACAGGCGGCCCACCCACCAGCGGATGGAAGGGGGACGTCAGTCAGCGTTGGGTGCTGTGTGGGGCTTCTGTCCGGAGCTAGAGCAGGAGCCTTTTCACTAATCGATCAGTCACATGATACAGGACACAAAGCCCCTCCCTCCACTCATCATGTTTTTTCTTAAGCAATACCAAAATGATTGTGGGTCTATCTGAGGTTTATATTTATGGCTTTGGTTGAACCATGATGAAAACTCCAGTTCAAGGTGAATTCTGAGAGATGCAGATCTAAAAGGAGAAAAAGGAGGGGGGTGCATTGCAGAAAGACAACAGGAGCTAGAGTTCTCTAACCATGAAAGTTGGGGCAGGAATATAGCTGAGATGCTGGGTAACTTAAGTTCTAACACCCGACAGCCAGTGAGAAAGTGCATACGGTTCTGCAGGGTGAGGCAGTTTTACAGTGCATCAAAGGAATCCCAGCCCCAAGACCTGGGCTGTTCTCCTTCCCATGTGGTTGGCCCATTTCTTGCAGGTCACACAGACAAAACGTTACTGCATAAAATTTAAACAAGTAAATGTCTGTTTTGGACATCATAATGTACTCTTTCATGAGATGCCTCTACAAAATCCAGTATTTTCAGAGAAAATCTGAGACGTAATCTGTACCAGTACTTACATCCAGAAACTACTCACTCTAGAAACTAACTGTAGACGGAGCAACTCAGAGAAGTTAAATCCCAGAGCCGCAAAATGTCAGGCCCATCAGTTCAAAGAAATGGTGGTAGCTATAACCCACAAGACATGAAAAGATGTGGACAGCGTGGCATTGCGAAAACGTGACTCGATGGGAACAAGCAGCCACGGGTTGGCATTTAAATGTTCAGGCTTTATGTTGTGTTATTATAATTCAGCACATGGCTGTATACACTGTGGAACAGTTAAAATAGAATCATTTTCTGAACTGACAGGACAGCTCGTGTCCTGATTATTGCCAACTAGGATTCAGATCAATTAATAAAGTAGTTAAAACGAAAATGGGCCAACTGTTTCGGAACTACTGTAAGATTTGGCACGAGGCTCCAACTTCGCCACGCGGCAGTCCCTCCCCTCTTCTGAGCCACGTGGTGGAGAGTACTTCATGACTGCGTGTGTCTAAGTGCAGCCGAGTGATGTTGCCACCCAAGTCTGTAACAGTGAATGTGCATGCTGCGTCCCCCTAGACGATGTACACTATATGCAGAGAGTAACACCCAGACCCAGTCCTCAGAGGGGATGGCAGTATGTTAGGGCTGTATATCACCCCGTTATTTCCACTAGCCTGAGTCACCAAAGCCAGAAGATGCAAAGATGCAATCAGTATCTAACATTTCAATACTGGGAAACCCAGCAAAGAGCAAATGCCCTACTGCTCCTCCACTGATATTAGTGATTTCTGGGTATGCAAACCCCTTTGAGGGCAAGGAATACAGGAGTTTGGTTTTGTTTCTCTTTTTGATATCTGTACACCCCCAACCAAACATAACCTAACACATAGCTATCGTTTATAAGTAACGTTTATAAACAAACGTTTATAGAACGAATGGAGAGATAGGCTATTCTCCTAGCCAATGTCTTGTCTTCCCGAACATTGAGTTTTAAGCAGCGAGTTCCTCATCAAGGGACTCTCCAGGCAAGAGTGGAACCAGAGATGACAACCCACATAAATAAAACACAGCCTATCACATGGTCCTTTCAATGTAATCTGTCAATGGCATCTAAAGGAAAAGTCTGGGAGGTTGTGGGGCTGGCTAAAGTCGCATGGGCAGTGATGGGACACAGACTAGAGCTCAGTTTTCTCAACTTCCTGTTCTACGACGCTTCCCTAATCCAAAGCAACCGCTCAATCCAGTGTAACTTCACAGGATTTCCACATGTCAACACAACTCAAAATGAGTTTCTCCAGAAAATGCCATGGCCAAGTTTCTCTGATTCAGAAAGTGGCCATGTAAGAAGTTTTTCTGTGAGTTCTTGATTTTATTAAGTTCTTAAACCATAGTAGTTTACCATTTTAGCAATATAAGGCAATGTAAAATACCACCACCAATGATTTGCTAGTAAAAATGTATTTTCCTTTTGATAATTAAAATTTAGAACTAGAAAGCTGTGACTGAAAGCAGATGCTGATCTTTTTTCTGTGCTTGATTAGCAAAAACATTTTAGAACTATCACCTAGCCAGATTCCTCATTCAGTAAACAGAACTACAGCCCAAAGAAGTTAGGTGGTTCATTCAAGGTCAGCCAGCTAATCAGAGGCCAGTCTACCAGTTAAGCTCAATTCAAAAGAATGTGATTGGCAATACTTGCTCATGGGACCAATTTTCCTGAGCACCTACTGTGTATTAGGAGCTGAACTAGAGATATGAGAACTACTGGGAGCCACCCTGACCAGCCAAGCGAGGAAGACCACACCTACGTCAGCCATAGCTGTGGAAGGGATTGACTGCTACGCTAGGACACGTTCTCTGAGCACTGCAGAGAACAGCAAACTCTGCCAGGAGCTGGCCAGCAAAGGTGTGGCGGAGCACATAGCACCAAGAGAAGCACACATGCACATGCTTCCTTTCCATTTTTAAAAATCATTCCCTAGGCTAATGATAAAGACTTGACGAAATCTCTAAGACCCTTAAGGTTGCCACTCTTGACTGCAACGTTCTTATTTTTAAAAGAAGAAAACCTTGACGGAACCAAACCAAAGTCTCATCCGATGACAACTGATATTTTGTCTGTGGGAGTGATATGGCTTAATTAAATAAAGTAAATGAGACAAAGTGTGAAAAGTGCTTAGCATAGTGCACGTAATTGTGTGTTCAATAAATGTCCACGGTGATTCATTCATTCACTTGTAGATAAGCATCAGTATGACTTGGGTGGGAACTCTCAGACATCTATCAATTTATCAACCCAATTTGTGAAATGACTACAGAATGCTTTAAAGGTGGGGTGGAACAAGAAAAAGGGACGTTTCTTAAGACTCTTTGAAGAATACTGTCTGCATGGCTCATCCCCACCCCCAATCAAAAGACTGGCGGTTCTTAAACTCTGCCCACTGTAGGGCGCCCAGTCTTCCCAAGAGTGCACCCAGTAGGTTCTCAATAATGCCTTTTACCATTTCAATACCTCTTGAAATAACCTTTTTCCCTTTGGTGCAGAGAAACGGCATCATTCCAACTGCCCCTGGTGAGCCATGTAAGTGAGAGCAGTTTCTCGCATTGCTGGGATAGGGCGCTAAGAAACTGCCACGGAGGGAAAGCAATTTTTCTAAGTGCCAAGTTCAGGCTTGGGTGGCCTGGACTGAGTCTCCCATGCGGTTTATTATAATGAAGCCCTACAAGTTGGGGTTTCCAAGCATACACGCCCATGTACATACACAATCACAACAAAGACGCACTTCCACAGAACGTGCCACTCCAAGGAGCCCACGCAGGGCCCGGAGGAGCTTCCCGGGGCGGCACCCTCCACGCGCTCCCCGGGACGGCACCCTCCACGCGCCTCCCCTGCACGGCACCCTCCACGCGCTCCCCGGGACGGCACCCTCCACGCGCTCCCCGGGGCGGCGGCAGCGCCCTCTTTGGCAGCGCCCTCTTCGCTTTGGGAGGTGTCCCCTGCAGGGCGCCGCTTTGCTCGCCCAGGCGGCCACCAAGGAGGAGGCGGCTGCGGCGGCGCCTGGAGGGCGACCGGGCCGGGCTTTGTCCTCCCCGGCTCCCGCCCCGCGGATCGGCCGGCCGCTCCCCTCCCCGCCTGCGGGGCAGGTGGCGCTCAGCTTGCCCGGCTGGCACCCCGTGACCCTCGACCCCTCCCCCGAGAGGGACGCGGACCGCCTCCACCCCCCTCCTCCCCGGGGCGCTGGGGTCCCACGGTCGGACCCGGGGCCCACGCGCAGGAGGAGGGACTGCGCGAACCCTGCCTCATTGATCGCGTTCCAGGGAGGCGGCCCGCCGCCGGTCTACGCTGGGGAGGGTGCCCCCCTGGAATTTGGGGGGACAGACCGGGCTCTGCTGCGTGTCATGGATGTCACCTGGAATTTGGGGGGAAGGACCGGGCTCCACCTGCAGGTCATGTAATGTCACCTGAAATTTGGGGGGACAGACCAGGCTCTGCCTGCGGGTCATGGAATGTCACTTGGAATTTGGGGGGACAGACTGGGTCATGAAACCCTAACTGCACTTTGGGGGCACAGACCGGGCTCCCCCCGCGGGTCATGAAACCCTAACTGCACTTTGGGGGGACAGAACGGGCTCCCCCTGCGGGTCATGAAACCCTAACTGTACTTTGGGGGGACAGACCGGGCTCCCCCCGCGGGTCATGAGACCCTGACTGCACTTTGGGGGGACAGACCGGGCTCCCCCCGCGGGTCATGAGACCCTGACTGCACTTTGGGGGGACAGACCGGGCTCCCCCCGCGGGTCATGAGACCCTGACTGCACTTTGGGGGGACAGACCGGGTTCCCCCCGCGGGTCATGAAACCCTAACTGCACTTTGGGGGGACAGACCGGGCTCCCCCCGCGGGTCATGAAACCCTAACTGCACTTTGGGGGGACAGACCGGGCTCCCCCCGCGGGTGATGAGACCCTGACTGCACTTTGGGGGGACAGACCGGGCTCCCCCCGCGGGTCATGAGACCCTGACTGCACTTTGGGGGACAGATGGGGCGGGAGGGCGAAGGCTTGAAGGCTGATTTCCGTCTCAAAGAGCCGAAGTACGTTCGCGCAAGAGAGAGCCGCCCGCTCCCCGCCGGCTCCCGCGGCTGCTCGCCCCGCGGCAGGCGGCGGAGAAAGGAATCCCGCCGCCCGCACACTCGCCACACGCGCCACAGCGCGGCGCCGCCAAGCGGCCCCAGCCGGGTCTCCTCAGAGAGAGCCGCCCGGCTCGCTCCGGCCCCACAGAAACTTCCGCCGCCCCGGCAGCGCCAGAGACCCCTGCGCTCCTCAAACTGCACGGTCCCCACACGCACACACAGACACACACACCACACACCACACACACACACGCGGCGCCCTCACCTTCCGAGCGCCCGGGCAGCGCCAGAGACCCGCTGCGCTCCTCAAACTGCACGATCCCCACACGCACACACAGACACACACGCACACACCACACACCACACACACACACGGCGCCCTCACCTTCCGAGCGCCCGGGCTGCGCCAGAGACCCGCTGCGCTCCTCAAACTGCACGGTCCCCACACGCACACACAGACACACACACCACACACACACCACACACACACGGCGCCCTCACCTTCCGAGCGCCCGGGCTGCGCCAGAGACCCGCTGCGCTCCTCAAACTGCACGATCTCCACACGCACACACACACACTCTCGCACACGCGGCGCCCTCACCTTCCGAGCGCCCGGGCAGCGCTGCAAACCCGCTCCGCTCCTCAAACAGCACGATCCCCACACGCACACACAGACCACACACCACACACACACTCTCGCACACCCGGCGCCCTCACCTTCCGAGCGCCCGGGCAGCGCGGCAAACCCGCTCCGCTCCTCAAACAGCACGATCCCCACACGCACACACACCACACGCACACACACACACCACACACCCGGCGCCCTCACCTTCTGAGCGCCCGGGCAGCGCCGCGAGCCCCGCCAGCGCCAGCGCCGCCGCGAGCCACGCTCCCAGGACGCGCATCGCCGCTTCGGCCCCGCACCCGGCGCCCGGAAGGCGGGATGCGGGCGGCCACCTCCGGGGAAAGGCGACGAACCAGCCCTGCCGAGCGGCCCTCACACCGGCCCGCGGGCGCGGGGCCCGGCTCCCTCCCCGCCCGGCGGCGCAGACCCGGGCCCGGCGCGGCTCTTCGAAGTTCGCCCGGGAAGGCCACCCGCCCGCCAGGCCGCCCGGCTCGCGCCCTCCAGCCCCCCGCGCGCCGGAACTTTGTGCGGCCCCCGGCGCCCCCTGCAGCGGCCGGCCGTCCCGCCGGCGCGCCCCTCGGCCCGCCCTCGCCGGGCGGGGCGGCGAGTGCGGGCGCGGCTCCCCTCGCCCACGCCCGCCTCACGGCCCGAGCCGGCCGCAGCGCGGGGCGGGCTCACTGCGGGGCGGGGCCGCGGTTCGGACGCGCGGAGGAGGAGCGGGGAGGCGGGGAGGACGCGCACTCGGGCGCCGGCGCGGGCGCCGAGATCCACGCGGGCCAGCCGCTCCCGGCGTGTAGGAGGCACGCCGCACGGCGAGAGCTCGGCCCAGGCTCGGCTCGAGCGCCCTCGAGTGACACGGTGGGCGGCGCAGGGGCGGAACAGCCGGATCGCGCGTTCCCAGCACAATAGCGGCGTCCCGGCTTTTGCGGCGGGACGGGGCCGCCGCGCAGGGCGCACACACGAGGACACGCCCGGCGCAACATATAGCGGGCCGGCCCGCTCCCTACAGACAGGAGGACGCAACCGGGGAGAACTCGCGAACCGCTCGGACCACGAAGCTGGGGCGCGGCAGGGCCAGGCCCTCACCACACAGCCGCAGAGAGACACACCGGCCGCCGTTAACCCTGCGTGACCGAACACACCACCCGGACTCGTATCGCCCCCCACCGCCTGGCGCCTCACCGGCCCACACACGACCCCACACACCCCGCCACAGCCCCACCCACACAGAACCCCGGCCTCGCCCCCCACCCCCTCGCGCCCCACCCCCAGCCCCCGAGCCCCCCCCTCCGCCTCGGCGCCCCCCGCTCGGCGCCCCCCCCCGCCATCGGCGCCACCCCCGGGACCTGCCTCGCCCCCACGACCGGCGGCCGCACCCTCACTTAATCCGCCTTCGCCTTCCCCACCCTCTCGGCGCCCCCCCCACCGCGCCTCGCCCCCACCGCCTCGGCGCTCCCGACCCCGCCTCGCTCCCCCCACCCGCCTCGGTCGATCCCCCCGACTCTGCCTCGACCCCCACCCAGACACCGCCTTCGACCCCCCACCTGCCTCCGGCGCCCCCCCTCCGACCCGCCTCGCCCCTCCTCCCCCCTCACACTGCCATCGGCGCCCCCCATCCTATGCCTCGCCCCCCGCTACGGCACTGGGACCCCGCGGAGGCCGCGCCCACAGTTGCCGGCGCCGAGCGGGCCGCGTCCCGGAGGACTGCCGGGCGGCGGCGGGTTTCACAGAGCCGAGTTCAGATGGCGGGTGCGGGTCTGAAGCTGAGAGAGAGGGACGGGCGCCTCGCGGGGCGCCGCCTGGCGGACCGGCCTCAGTGGGCGGGACGCGCCTTGGATGGGGAGTTTGCGGGGCGGGAGGTGCGGGGCTGGGGGCGGTTTGGGGGCAGGGATTTGCGGGGCAGGAGGAGCGGTGTTGGGGGCGGGGAGTTTGCAGGACAAGGGGCGGTTTGGGGGCGGGGATTTGCGGGGCAGCAGGAGTGGTGTTGGGGTGGGGGTTTGGGGGCGGGGGTGGGGGGCCGTGTTGGGGCGGGCGGGAGGAGGGGTGTGGGGCTGGGGGTCCTGCGCCCCGTCCCGCGAGCCCCGCCGAGCGCCCGGTTCTGACGCGCTGACGCGGGAACGCAGCGGCTGGCCGTGACCGTCACGTGGAGCCGGCACACGGGAGCGTCCGACAGCCTGACGGACCCCTGCCCGGTCGCAGGACTGGGGGTGCGCGGTCGCCCGGTGTCTCCGCTGCGGCCGCCCTAGGGTCGGAGCCCTGTCGCTGTGTCCAGGACTCCCTCGGTGCCCTCCAGACGTTCGTTGAGGAGTGCGGTGAGCCGGACACCGAGTCCCTGAGAGCTGCGGCGTCCGAGTGGGGCTGGGCCTCCACCCCTGCCCTCGAAAGGCCTCCCTCTATTTAGGGTGCGCGTCGTCTCGGTCCTGCACGGTGCTGTGCAGACTCAGCTTCCAGCTTCTCAAAGCCGGGCCACCCTCGTCCCCTCCCGTATGGAGATGCGGTGGCCACGGCTGCCTGGGAGCAGTTTAGGCAATTTATTCTCTCGAAAAACCAACGATCTGATTTTATTTAGGAATCATACAGTTATGGCACTCAAAGGGGTATCAGGACATATGTTACACTTGCTAATTGCAAATGTGCTGCTTTTTCTACAGGAGAGGAAATAAGTGGAGAGAAGAAAGAAGACAGAGCAGCTCTACCAAGATGCCCGAATGCATCGCGTGCTGCGGGTGTTGGATGTGTGCGCCACATTCCGCTTCCTCCAGCCCGCTGCAGCGGCGGTCACCGGCCTGCTCATAGCATCCCTTTTCCTCCCTAATTAAGCCAGCAGGCTCCTCCAGGGTCCCTGCTCCAAGATCACTTGGGTGGCCAGGTGGCTAAAAGGGTCAACAAGTATTTTCATAATATTAGGTATATGTAATGCCTAATATGCATAACGCCTCCTATGGCCATTTAAGCTGAAATGTTGGAAAAAGCAATTATGTTAGCATAACATTTCATTATGGTGAAAATTTAGTAAGCGTTTTATAGATATGCAGCTAATCATCACTAGCTTATCCTTAGAAGTTAACCTCTAAATGAATGCTTCTTAGGGAGTTGCAGTTTGCTAGCCAGAGATATTTAGGTTTACGCGTTCACTCGTCTTTATTTACGTGTCTGGATTCCACACCTTTTGTGAGTGTGTCCCACGGTATCTCCTTGGATGGACCCTACTGTCATCTCTTCACGTTTCCCTGGCTTTGTTGCTACCCATTTGGGGGAATTTATTTATTAACAACAACTGCTGCAAATGATAATAGCTATCACATGTTGAGTACTTTGTGCCTATCACTGTACACTTTCCCATGTGATCTTCCAGTAACCCTGTGGGACTGACAAGTGAAATAACTGGTATTTGGAGAGTTAAGTAATCTGTCTAAAGTCAGATAGCCAACACATGACACAGCACATTAGAGCAAGAAACTCTAGCTACCATAACAGGCAAACCTCCAAATCATAGTCTCTTAATGCAACGAAAGTTTCCTTGTCCGGCACATCCTGGCCCCTGGGCACTGGTGGTCCCTGTACATTGGCGCCTGGGCCCCGGTGACTCCTTACAGCCAGCTCACGGTGGAACACGTGACACACGTGACTTCTGCAGAGGGTGATAAAGGAGACACTGCCACTCATAAGGGTCTCAGCCCTTCCTCTCACAGGCCAAAGATAGGACTTAGTCTCATGGCCCCTAGCTATCACACGGGAGCATGAGACAGACGGGAACACGGATGCACTTGGTGAGCGCTGGCTGCACTGCCGCACTCCAGAGCCCATGCTTGTAACTGCCTCAGCTGCTCTGAGTTACGCCATCAGCAAAGCTCCACAGGAACCTTCTCTGCTGCCACGACCTTTGCTGACCTGGTTACCTTGGCCTCGCTGCTTCTCCAGTCTGCCTTTACTGTCGTCCCTGCTCTCCGCTTACTCTCCTTTCCCTTTCTTCTTCCCATCGCCCGTCCTCTGCTTCTGTCTGCCTTCCTTTTGCACAGCCCGCTCCACCTGCCGAGTCTCTGTCGCACCCTTCTCCTGTGTATGCCTTCTCTGATCTGCCTGCCTGCCCCGGGAGTATTCTTGTAGCGTTAGTGCACTTGTTCTGCCTTGGCAGTTTTAGCGTGTGACAATATTTGTTGCTTTTTTTCCTTCTCCAAACAATTATTCCAAAACAGAACATTAAAATAACACAGAACTATAAACGGGAAGGCTCTGCTGTAATCTAACACTTCCACAGAGATAACCACAGCCTACATATTCAGACATTTTTCTCTGTTAACTAAAGGTAATTCTCGTTACAAAAATAGAGTTATAATGTACATGTCATTTTATAACCTGTCTTCTTTGTCCCACTGAGCACTATACTGTAGGGGGGTCACAAGTTTCTAAACCAAATCATCTTGATCTACCTCATCCTTTTTAAGAGCTGCTTGGGTTTACATTGTAGGGATATGTCTTTACATATTTCACCAATCCCCTTTTGAAGAACATTTAAGTTGTTGCAAATTTTTTGCCATTATAAATAATATAGCACTAAATGCCCTTATAAAAGCCTTTTGTATGCTTACCCTATTATTTCCCTGGAAAAACATTGTAGGCAAAATTGCTAAGTCAAAACATGCATATTTTTCATTGTGATGTATGTATTATTTAATATTTGCAAATATCCAAAGATAATGTAGCACTATTCTTAACCCCACTTATTAGCTGTGTCTTTAGGCAAATTAATCTCCCTGAGCCCCAGATTCCCTGTCTATAAAGTAGACATTAGAATAGTGCTCACCTCACAGGACTTTTGTTTGCATTAAATAAGATAAAAATATCTGGTGTAAGTTATCCACTTAACAGATGTAGCCAAGTGGAATACGGGTATTTTTTAAATTTGCATTTCTTTCCTCATTAGTGAGGTGAAACACTGTCTCTTATATTTATTATGGATCTGTGTGTGTGTGTGTGTGTGTGTGTGTGTGTGTGTGAATGGCCTGTTTATATTTCTTTTTCAGTGGGTTTTTTATTCCTGTGTGAATTGTAAGGGTTATTCATATATTCCAGATATTAACCCTTTGTACTCGCTTGCTGTTTTCTCATTATCCAATCAACATTATCCACACTCGACACCCGAGTGCAAAGGGTTAATCCTACCCTTGGAATCTGGATACTGCTTTATTGAAAGGGAGTAGTTATTTACTGTTTATTTGTGTGGGATACCATAGTTTCCTCAGTCACTGGAAGCACATGTGAGATTAAAACCAAGGAGAAAAGGTTTTCCTGGAATAAAAGAAACAAAGGCCCCCCCCATTTTTTATGTGTTGTCTGTTTGATTTCCCACTTGCAGCAGCCACCCACCCCACGCCCGGGTGCAGT